TTAAGTAGTTGGCTAAGTTGTCTTCTTAAGGGTCTTGGCTTGGCGATCAAAGAGACCATATCAGGCAATCAGCAACTCACAAATCTACTCACTTATTTTTGGTTGGTTTCAGTGGCTGCTTGCGTTTCAGTGCAATTGGTAAGTCAACATATATAAAGCTTAAAGAAGTTAGTATAAGCTGCAATTTTTTAGGTTTATCTGAATAAAGCTCTTGATATGTTCAACACATCGATGGTGACTCCAATCTACTATGTATTCTTCACAACCTTTGTAATTCTAGCGTCCTCTATTTTGTATAAGGTCAGTTCCAGATGGATCACAAGTTTTCGGAAGTTTTTGTAAAGCATCTATCTGAAAAATGAGAATAAGACAGCTATTAATTTTTGGTGGGGATTCCTGCGCGAAGGTAAAGGAAATTCTTGAAAGTGTTTTATTAGAGAGCTTTTACTTTCCCAAGTGTTTTATTTTGAGCTATAACTCTTTTTGAATCCTTTTTCATCATGCTCAATCTAAGAGAATCATGATAATCTTGCTCTCCGTGATCCAGTCTATTTTACATGTGATTTTGACTGGTGGCAGCTGAAAAATAATACTATGTGACTGCTCGAGATGTCTTTAATGTAGTCACCGTAAAAATACATGCTAAGCCATAGCGGCATTTGAGTAGGACTTTCTGTGCGTTAAATAATATCACGCTGTATTTGAGTGTAGTGCTGACCACCTTCTAGAACCAGTATGATAAGGGTATGCTCCTATACTCAGGAGATAACTTTCTCTTGCTTGTTTTTACAATTTGGAATGAATTCCGCAAATCTATGAATCCCTTCTTTCAGGAATGGTCTTGTCTTGGTGCTTCAGATATCCTAGGTAACGTGATTGGTTTCTTAACGACCATCATCGGGATATTCCAGGTACGCTCTACAGTACTTTTTTTTAATAATACCTGCACAACGTTTCCATTTCAGATGCAGTTGTTCCGTGACGTAAACATCAGTTTACGTCAAGTTCGGGTACTTCTTCACCGACCATCTGCATCTCTTGCCAGCCTTGATCTCTCGTCAAATTCCGCCACAAACCTCGTCGATGAATTCACCATTTCGCCACCGAATGGCGCCGCTAGGCACGCTGCTTACACGTGAATGTTTGAGTTAGTGTTTAGTAGTGTCAAGTTACCAAGGTATTTGTTTATTTCTAATTATTTGCGTGTCGAATGGAGCTCATTATGTGCGTATTCTTGATTTTTCTGCAATTCCTATGTGCCCATGCGCTGTTTTGTCGAATTCGCACCGTAGCGACGTTTCATGTGGTTGTGACACTTGTTAGCTATCAATTAGTTCTCACTTTTAACGCTCAACGCTCAATGCTTTGATGTTCTTACATTTCTTTGCTAGCTGCAGTAGGGACCAGTCAGTCCAGATCCTATCTATCAAACAAATTGAACAGAGTATCTTCTATGATAGTCCTCGCTGTTCCTCTTTATAGCATATCGTACTGCAGGACATGTACAATTGGAACCGGTGTGCCGTTTGTTTTATCTTTTTGTTCTATACACGCTTTATTTTCACTAACACGGTGTGGCGACAACTGTTTGTGATTTCTCTCTGCCTGTCTATCTCATCATTTTCGTTCATTTGTCTCGTTTTGTGGCTACTATATTGACGAGAAGCTCAAAGCATCTTTGACCAAGTTCCTTTATAGCCCTCTTCACTCTATTCTTATAGAATTTTCATCTGAGTCGGTACTGACTATGGAACTTTCCGTCATTAATGAAATGCGTGTACGTTGCTAATGTAAATAGCGAGAGTAAGATGTGATGAATATTATGTCTTATGTGATTTTATTTCTTAAACTTTTTCTTTCATAAAGAAGATGCTTTAAAAAGTTGTTATTGCTGTAGACTCTTTAAAAGCAATACATGTTTTCCTCTAAATTACTTTTCTGATCCTTTCCTTTGTATTCATTGGTGAATGGAGTAACTATGATCTCACATATCTCTTGACTTTTGGCGTTAAACAGCCAAGATGAATGTACAGCGGACGAATTTATAGAAGATGCGGGATGGAGGGGATTGTTGATTTCAGTGCAGTCTCTTGGTTTTTCTTTCTGTTTTTTTTTTTGGTTTCTTCTCCAAATTTCTGTGGCTGGATCATCTCTGGGGTCAATATGGAATGTGATTATTTGAGAATGGCAAAAAAAATCGGTTTCTCCCACATCCCTCCCTTCCCAGAGATCAAAAAATACTCTCTTGTGGCAATTTGAAATTGCTTTTCTTGGGGCTATTGGATATGATGCACTTTGTGAATGAAGGCCTACTTTGACGGTCGCGCGCTCGCCTGACTTGCGCCTTCTATACCGTTTACCATGCTTTATTTAACAGTGTTGATTAGCATTAAAGATGTAGTCATATCACTACAATCCTTCAACAAACGTTTATAGAAACTAAAGAAGTTTGCAAAATGCTCTGAAGAAAACGAAAATTGTTGGGAGGATCCTTCATTTAAAAGTCATTGTTATGACTATATTTTAAAAAAAGTTGCGCGGTGCCACATTTGGATTGGAAGATATGGTTCTTTGTAAAGAAATTCGAAGTCATATTTAAAGTGCAAAGTAAATAGATTCACACAAAAAACTATGTTTCTTCCTCTTTACTAAATTTTCTTTAGCTTTTCAATTCTTCGTAAGCATTACACGCTGACGCAAACTGCAAACTGCTAGCACTCAAGTCGGAGTTTCTGTGCTTGCGTCTTCGCGCCGAGCTGCGAATCGGCGCATTGTATCGCCGACTAAAGCTACTTATCCCATAATGTCGTCATCATATAGTAAGAGGACAAAACTCAAATTCTTATGAGGCGTCGCTTAGCGACTAGTGGCACACACCTTTTTTCACTTCATTTTACTCACAGAGCAGTGTATTTCTTGTGATAAACTGACTAATATGTACGCCACGATTTCATTACAGTACGTTCAATAGCAGCGGCGTTGGTTTTTTC